ACCAAGCCATGATTATGTGAAGGAAATCATCGAGTTGGGGGAGAAAATTAAGTTCATCCTTGACAACGACCCAGACAAGCATCGGTATGAAGTGTCTAATAACCATCTGTCGAAAGTTATGGAGCCGTATATCCAGATCTATCTCGACAACATCAATGCTAGTCGTCAATGTAGTATTAAGGACTTCTTCGCCTGCAACCCACCACAACCACATCCAGCCCAAGTCAGTGATAGTGACAGTGAAGATATGAACTTTGAAGGGTTTGTCTGGGAGGCCCTGCAAACCTCTGCGAGTAGTGAAAGTGATTCACCAGAGGGCAACTAATCTGCCCTCTGCCTCGGAACCAGCCGCCATCCACGTGTGCCGACCCATCTCTTCTACTAACGTAAGTGTTAAACACCTTTAGATTTGTAGTTTTTTATTTAGATATTATGTGTGTAGCAATACCATCATAAAATTATGATGTTATTTTTACTACAAGGTACGTATTGTGTCGGGAAAAGTGGAGTTTGGGAGTCGGCCCAGTCTCTTATTTCAATTAATCCCATATGTTCTGTTAATTCGTTTACGCGTTTCTCGTTTTACGCAGACCTCCACGGGTTCAATTGACCGCGTAAATGCAGACTATACTGTGTGTATATATATATATATGTATGTATATATATATGTATGTATATATATATATGTATATATATATATATATATATATATATATATATATATATATATATATATATATATATATATATATATATATATATATATATATATATATATATATATATATATATATATATATATATATACATATACATATATATATACATATACATATACAGTGGCCCCTCGGTTAACGAACTCAATCCGTTCCAGAAGGTCGTTCGTTAACCGAAACGTTCGTTAACCGAAACCATTGTTTCAATGGGTTTTTGGGTAATTGGTTCCAGCTCACCGAAAATTTCCTAACTTCAACAAAAATAGCGGAAAAATTTACTTACTTTGAGGTGTGTATGTAGAAGGCTCCTGGATGATGGTGATGATGTGCATTTGAAGTGGGAGGTGCAGGAGGAGAAGGGAGAAGAGAAGGAAGTGGAGGAGAAGCATTTTACTGCTTCTTGGAAGGTGAGTCACCTTCCATGAAAATGTCAGGAACCTCTGGACTGACAGATTCTCCACCATGAACATCCTCTCTCCTTCTTGAAGTGGAAGGCTGAGGGCTAGCATCATCCTCTCTCCTTGAAGTGGAAGGCTGAGGGCTAGCATCTTGTTCCCTCTGCCTTTTACTGAAGAAAGTGTCAATTGTGGTCTGTGGGGCATCTGTCCTCCTCACCATTAACTTATGTTTAAAGAAGGAGACCACTGAGTCCTCAACATGACACAAAGTTAGTTCAGTTTTTTCCACTTCTGGGTGCTTTGAAGCCAGTTCCCTGAACTTCTCCCAGTGGTAAATCACATCTTTCAACTGTTTAGCTGACATATGGTCATCACTTTCAATTTCCTCCTCACCACTGTCAGCCTCTACCCGTAACATCTCATCCAGTTCCTTCAAGTCATTAGGAGTAAGTTCCTCATGAGACATCACAAGCTCTTCCACATCCTTCTCCTCCACTTCAAGACCCAATGACTGACCAATGGACACAATCTCCTGGTCCAACTCTGTGTCATCCTCAAATCCCTCAAAATCATGGACTACTGATGGCCACAGTGCTTTCCATGAAGAATTGAGGGTTCTATTGGAGACTTCTTGCCATGATGACACAATCAATTTTACAGCCTCCAGGACGTTGAATTGTGTCTTCCAGAACTGTTTCAGTGTTAGTTCAGGATCAATGGAAGTTGCCTGATGACACCTCCCAAACATTTTCTTCATGTACAACTTCTTGAAGTTGCTGATCACATTCTGGTCCATTGGCTGTATGAGTGATGTAGTGTTTGGAGGCAAAAACAACACTTTCACAAAGTCAAATTTATACTCCAAATTTCTGGCAAGGTCAGGGTCATGACCAGGAGCATTATCCATGAGGAGAAGAGCCTTTAAAGGAAGTTTATTGGTGGTTAGGTAGCTCTTGACAGAGG